TCTGACTTCTGGACTGAAGCTTTCTATATGTATACACACACTCACACACACACACACATTTATTCACTGATTTTAATTTGCCAGAGGTACATGTGCTCACAAGAGATTAAAAAAAAGTGACAAAGCACCCGCCATGAAGGATGGTTACACCACAGTCCCTTGCCACCATTTCTCCCTTTTTGGAGGGGTCCTCGGGCATGCGTGACACGCGCCCAGCACGTTTCTCAACCTGCCACGTCTGGAACTTGAGCTGCACAGTCAGTAATGTGGGACCTATTCACCTTAACCACCATGCCACAGGCTGACCCAAAATGACAATTTCTATTTTTATATATATTAATTTTTCTAACCATCATCCTCATTACAAATAATGTCAGTCCTCTAAATTACCTTTGTATACCTCCATGAGGATCAGTTTTCCTTTCTAATACCCATCCTAAAATTTTCTTCCGAAGTCACTCCATGTTTGAAACCAGACCAGCCAGAGTACAGAATGACAAAGAGAATGGAGGACATTCTTTTTGTCAGAATATTCAAGAAAAAAAATCATTGAATATCTCTTTGGTTTTACTGACTATACTGACATTTAGCGTTCAGGGGGAAAACAACCTAGAAAATATTTATAGTACAGAGATTATACTAATTTTGTTATTATTTCATTCAGATTTTGCAACTAAGGAAGCCTCTTCTACTGAAGAAATAGATGTTACATAGGGTCCAGCAGATGGTGTAGTGGTTACGTTGCTGGACTCCACATGGCCGACTGTGGTTTAAATCCCAGACCCAGTGGCTTGAAATTCACTGTGGGCACATGTGCCCAAGATCCCAGGAGGAGAATGAAGGAGAAGGGATTGCAGTGAGATCATCTCCCCGGGGAGGTGATTTCTCACTTTCCCTCTCACTGTCTGTCTCTCTCCAGTGAGCGCACATGCCTTAAGGCAAAAACCTCTACAAAAAAAAGAGCAAAGAAATAGGCGTTATACCTGTAGAATTATGAATTATGAGCAAGGACCTGTCATCAGATCACACTGTGATACTATGGCAGGCATCACAGCCCCAGAGCTCTGCCATGCTTCTGGAGTATTTCTTTTACAAACTTGCTTTCTTAAATATTATTTAACAAACACTGAACACCTGAAATAGGCACTATAGGTGAAAAAATGATTTTTTAAAAATTAAAGATAGCATCCCTACTCTCAAAGGGCTTACATTCTAACAGAAAAAGTAAAATATTCAGATGAAATAGTGTCCCAGTGGCCAAGAGCCTCTTTCAGTGAGGGGTGAAGGGAACACATTGTCAGGTCGATCCAGTGGCCACTGCAAACTCTGACGTTCATCTTGGACAGTCCCTTCCATTTTCTTTTGAGCTCTATATTTTCTAATCTTAGCATTTTCCCATAAGCTTTTATCAAACATAGGTGACTTGGGTATTCTTTAGATCTTTAGTCACATTTCTCATCTGTAAATCAGGTAAATATCAAAATTATGTAAATCCTCCATAGCAACCAAATGGAAGATTATAATCAAATAAGTACCTGCACCTTATCACTAAATTGATAAGGAAATACAAAGGGCTCTGAAGCTGGATCCTGGAGCAGCCCCAGGGACAGAACATTATTGCTTTGGTGGAGAACCCAGAGTACTCCTCCAATTCCAAAGGAATCAGATCATTAATTTTGTCATTCACTTAACAAGCACCTTCTTTACGCCTGTCACTATTCGAAGGATACAGTGGTAAGCAAAACAGACTTTGCTCTCTACACACTCACATCAGAGAGGGAGAGACAAATAATACGTTTTTAAAAGATATATAACAAAACACCAGAAAAGGTGGAAGGTTATGAATTTGAGAGGATAAGAAAATGATGACGGTAGTGTTTAAATAGAGAAGTTAAACTCTTGAACTAGGTAGCACTTGAGCAGCAATCTGCGTATGGTAACAGGGTGACGCATGAACGTCTCTGGAGGAAACGTCATGCCACCAAAAATACATAATAAATAAAAACATAGTTTAAAATGCATGAGGAAATAAGTGTAGGAATCAGAGAATATATGCTATACCCTACCCCAATTATGTGACATATAGACTAAGTCATATTCTTTTTAAAAAATAAACAAACAAACAAAAAAAAAAACACCATTTTATAAAAGAAAACATTGAGATCTGAGTGATCATATAGTGGTAATGCATCTAGACCCACAGAGGAAAGGTCCTGGGTTTGCCTCCTGGGCCCTCCCTGAGCACCTCGGACTGTGATCTGGGCCATCTAAAACTGGGGATACCTGTCTCTACCTCTGCCTCTCCCTGCCCCCTCTCTCTTTCTCTCTGCCTCTATTCCTCTCTCTCTCTCTCTCTGTCTCTCTCTCTCTCTCCCTCTCTCTCCTCTCTCCTCTCTCCTGGAATAAATAAACATTAGAAAGTACATATAAAAAAACTTCAAAATTGTTTGAGTCTTCCTGAGAGTCAAGGGAAGAAATGTCTTTCAAGCCTCAACATACAACTTGTGAAGTGCTGCCGAGTCTTAAAAGATGCTTCTGATAAACTGTAGTACTACCCTGGGTATCTCATTTCATCTTGTTATATATACTATATGCTACAATGATTCCCCAAGTTACAGAGCTATAGAACAAAGCAAAGAAAAGTTAAATAACTTGGCCAACGTCATCAGCCACAGAGGGGTAAAATCTACTTATATACAACTTTTTTTGAGAGAGAGAGATTTTTGCTATAGGGCATGTGCACTCACCAGAGAAACAGAGAGACAGAAAGAGAGACATGACCCAACCAGGGTGGATGGCTATACCACAATCTCTTCTTCTACATTATCCTCTCAGATCTTGGGCATACATGCACATGCACCCAAGCCACCGGTTCTGAGACTCAAACTGTGGTTGACTATGTGAGAGTCCAGTGACATAACCATTACGCCATCTGCTGGTCTCAATAATATACAACATCTATCCTAAACACTCAGTCACTTTTTTAACCCTGAGAATTTACTGAGCAGTTTTTATGGTTCATCATATTCCAAATACGAAAGAAGTGACAAGCACTATCTCTTAGTCAAATTATCCTTAATCTATGTGTAAAGAAAAAAGCCAACATAGTCCCCAAAACGGTCAGATGACACACCTTGGGATTTACAGTGACAAAGTGCAAAGTTTTGTTTGTTTGTTTGTTTGTTTTAAGTGTTTGTTGGTGTTAATGTAAGCTGAATATGGCTTGGGGCTAGAAATTGTTGAGTCTAACCTTTTTATTTTTAAAGAACTGTCATGTGGAAAAGAAATTAGATTTGTTCCATATGTCCCCAGAGGTGGAAGCAATAGAAAGATTTCAACATAATATAAGGGAGGACTTTCAAATAAAATAAGGAGAACGCTAGAGCTCTCTAAATATGGAAAGGACTGGGAGATAGAGTGCTCTGATCACATAGGTAGGACAACCTCTTCAATGACATCTCATACACAGGGATCAAGAGACGGGGGGAATATATTCCATCAATTTGAAGCTCTCTTCTAAGGCTGAGAATTTCTTATTTGATCAGGGGTAAATAAAATTTTTAGCAGTACTTAACTGCTTATGCAGTTCAGACCTTCATTAAAAAGGTGATTTAAGAAGAGTACTTTAAAATTTTTGGCTATCATATTTGCAACTCTGCATGTTACTTCTGGTGCCTAATTGATAATAAATAATCCTCTCGAGATGTACTTTATTTCCTGCTTGCTCTTTCTAGGTCTCCAGCCATACACCAACTACAGCTTCACGCTTACGGCTTGTACATCTGCTGGATGCACGTCGAGTGAGCCTTTTCTAGGTCAGACACTGCAGGCAGCCCCTGAAGGTAATGAGAAATATCCCTGATTAGAAAGAAGAAGTTTGCCGATAGCATGTTGAAATGAACTCTATAAACTCCTTTATAACAAACAAGGCAGAAGGAATAAAGTGGCTACGTACAAAATAAAATACTGTATTCTACGTTCTTATGCTTCAGGCTTGGTTCAACTCTGCTTAGTCTCTCAAAGTTAGCTGGCTTTCAATTCTTTCATCCTTCTAGATTTTCTTTTCAGTATATAAAAAGGAGTTATTACCTATTTGGATATGAAATTCCTCAAGAATACAGCAGTCGAACAAAGATTTCCAGAGTCCCTAATATTTACCAAGTACCATGCTCACTAGTGAAGTTGACTGTAATAGCCTCTACCCTCAAGAGCTTACAGTCAAGTAGAAGTGATAGGAAAAGAAGTAGACCTATGTGAAGGGAGGGAATTTAAAAGGTGATATTAAGAAAGTACAAATGAGGAGAGTGCTCGGGTTAATCTGAGCAGGGAGGGATTAGAGCCCTCATTATTTATGGAGAAGATAACTTCTGAGACAGACTACGAGGAATGAGGATTTTGACAAATGAGCAACAAAATGTACAATCAAACACAGTTTGAGGAAGTGTAAGGTGAGATGAGCACCATAGAAGACAATTGGCAATATCTATTAAGTTTAAACAGTTAATTTCCCCATAATGCAGCAGTTCTATTTTCATTTTCTATGCCGGAAGCTATGCTCTATAAGGAGCATAAGGTGGCATGTACCAGGTTGCTTGTGGAAGCCTTTCTTTTATGGTAAAATGTTTCCTGGTGGAATAATGGAGCAATGTAAATATCCACAAGTAAGGGAATTGCTAAATAAATGCAGTTATCCCCACATTGTAGAATAAATTAAAAAGAAAAAAGAACTGGTCTGCACGTATAAATGGAAACTATATTAATATATTTAATACTTTTTATGTAGAAAATACACTGAGAAAATGCTACTGATTACTACTGATTAATAAATTAAAGCCAAGACAAATTCCAAATGTAGACATTGAATAGCAATGGTTACCTGTGGCTTAGGAACTGAGAAAGATGGTGTCATTTGTTTTTAGGAGAAAAATATGCTCAGTAACCTTTGCTAGTGATTAGCTAATTATTTTGTTAATCTTTGTCAAATACCTGTTTTCATGTAG